AGTCCCAAATCTTTGTCTTTTCTATTCAAGAATGTTGACAAAAAATTAACAAACCCCAATTTTCTTAAATAGAAGAGGCAAGGTTAGGGACTTAATTTTTTGTCAATATTTGAATGGTTGATCAAGAAAATTAGATGACACTTGAAGGGCATTTGTGTCTTTTCAAATGCCACTTAACGGCTGACTAATGATAGGTACTGGATTTGAAAGTTCGGGTATTAAATTCTCACGTTTTAAAGTTTGAAGACCAAAATGACACTAGGCCCAAAGTACAAGGTACTAATCAGGAATTTTCCCTTAAAAAAAGCAACTTCAAATCTCTCTATTTAGTAAAATGAAATGGTCCAAAATGTTAGTAACTTAAAAAAAAAAAAAAAACATCTTTAATACCTTCTAATCTATTTGCTTCAATATATTAAACGATGGTTTGTTTTCTAAGGCAATAACTCTTCCCCATTAACAAGGGTTATTTTCCAAAGTTAAAGCTTTGGACTGTTGAGACTGAATAAATTAACAACAAAGAGTTGAATATCCCACTCTTTGGAGTCCCAGAGTTTGAACTAGGTTGAAACAATTGCAAAAACTTTGTTGGGATTTCATCTCTTGAAATCATGTCCTTTGTTATCCAAAACAACTTGAAGATGATATCTTGACACCTTCAATTACTTTGCTTCTACAAGTATTAGTCTAAGGTTTTATGATTTTCTTTTTCACTAATTCTTTTGTTGTTTGGGTTTAAGTCCATTCGGTCAAGTTCTGACATGTAAAGATGGAGATTTGAAGTCATTTGGTAAGCTTTGCTAAATATATGGATCAGCACAACGGTATGTTTTATTTGATATGTTTGGCAGTGGTTTGTAGGTTATTTTTCTGTTTCCTTTTTCCCCTTTTTTATGAGCATTGTTTTTGCTTGGTTACAGATGGAGCACATGGGAAGAGGAGGGACTGAATGGTGAATAGTCGTTTTGGTTTTAATTGTTGTATCGAAATGTAGGTGCTATATAATTTTTGTAATAAATCATTAATAGTGAGGTGTGAGGAGAGGAGTTTATGCATCATATCCGAGGATATGCAAATGGATCAGATTGGATTTGAAATTGGGGGTATATCTAAATCCGATTCAATAGGAATAAAATTATAAATTGATAATTAGTAAAAAATAAAATCAATTTAAGTATAATAAAGATTAATATAAATTTATATGACAATAATAATAATTAATTAATTAGTAACATTAATAAATCTATATTTACTAAAATTAATAAAATTACAATACCATGTAAGTTTCATTTAAAAATAATATAAATTAAGAAAAATTAATAAAATAAAAAATTATTAATTTCAAAATTAAATTTAATCATTTCATTGTTCACTTAAATTACATTAATAAAATTTTAAAATTAATTAAGCAACTTGGACTGTGGTAAAAAACATAGCCCCCTCCCCCCCCCCAAAAAAAAAGCGCTTAGACCAACGTGACTATCACAAGGCTCCTTATGCCACAATTTCTTTTAACAAAACTTATGCATTGCACAGGTCCCGACTAATTGCTTTAGAAAAATATCCATCATCTTTAACCCTAGAATAGGGAAGACTTGATCGTCTTTCACATTACAAGGTTCTGGTAATGTCATACAAATGCATCTTGAGATTAACCTTAGGTTCTTTCTTTGGATTTTTATGTTTGGTTTTGCAACCATGCTTCATAGCTTGGTTCTATGCTTGTGTTGCAAAATCAGGGGAGAGAAGAAGAAGAAAAAGAAGGGAGAATAAGGAAGGGAGAGAGAAACAAATGAATAGAGCACATAGAATCACAAATTTCAATTGTAAACAAGGGAGAAGTAAAAGTATAGTGAGAAATGTCAATGCTTCTTAAATTTGCTTTCACTATTCGCCATTCTCAACAATGGTAGTCTTCTTGAGCCCGGTCTCCCTTCCACTGGCACTAAAATTCTATCTCACACACAGCACAGAAATGCACTCAAACCTACACACTAATGCACTATGGCATTCCTCCTCAACTATTGTCGCATTCAGAGTTGTTGCCATTGTGTGCTTACTAGCTTTTCTCGAGTTGTTGTCATTTTATGCTTACTAGTTTCCATGGAGAAATTATTTTCTCCTAGGATCAAACAATCAAATTTGATGTTCAGATCAAAGTTGAAATCGTACTTGATGCGGATGCCACAATTACAACTTCCAAAGTAGTGATTCACACCCAAACTTCAGGTCCAAATCAAGTTCTAAAGCTGAAGATGGCACAACCCAAAAACAAGAACTTGGTCTAGTATGCTTTTGTGAATCAATGTGCATTCCAATGACCTTCTTTGAATACAGTTGTTAATGACTTAAGTAAATTGTGTTTTTGTTAGTAAAACTTAAAGAGAAAAGAGAAAAAAAAAACTCTCCTTTCAGCCTGGGTCGAACTAGGGTTTGGAAGTAGGAGAATAGATGCTAATCTCTAGCAAGACTCTCTCATTCTCTATCATATATAGAGCTGGAATGTTGCAATCCCACTAGGAGTTTCCAAATTAAATTTATAACTTAATTAAAAATTAGGAAACCATACTAATCATATTAGGATTAAGAAAATATCCTATCTCATTCCAATATCAACCCAACTTATCCAATTATCTAGTCAAACTAATCATGTGACTAGTCAAACTAGTGTTTAGTTGGAATTGGACCATTATAATCAAGTTATTTAATTCATAATTTTAATTAGCCCATTAGACCTGAATATTGTATGGATGGGACCCACTAAGTCCTCACATTAAGTTATATGGGTCCAGCCTAGGTAGAGAACCACATAGACAAAATTCACTAGGCTTGCTTAGTAGGCCTACTACCCAATCCAGTTGGGCTTGKAATCGACCCAACACTTAAACATACATGGGCTTTGGGTTTCAACCACCTTATAAAACCTAGAACCAATGGTATATTGTGAGAAATAAGCCCATCAGGTTTTAGCCAAAGAGGCTTTTACTCATAACCTCTTAACTCATAATATTTGTACACTACGCACAGGGAAGAACCTCTTCCTTAACTGTAAAATGTAGTRTTATACTCTCTATTTAAATGGATCCTATGATTAAAAACCTTTTACCAACCATTTTATAAAATAAATATGTTTCACAGGTTAACTCCTAAACATGTTAAAATTCATTAGTAGCAGTTTAAGTTTCTATTAGGGAAAGTGCTAATTAGGATATTTTCTTTGTCTAACAAAATGGTTGATCCTATCTCAATGATTGTCCACTCAAGTGATATTTCAAATTACTCCAACATACCCATGTATTTGACCCTTATCTCATTGGTTGGTACATCAAAAGAAACCTAGTCCAACAATTAGTATAGTATCATTCGCAAGTCTAGGGTTAAATGCAATTTTTTGTTTTTAGTTTTGCCCATCTTTCCCCAAACTACTCCAACATACCCATGTATTTGACCCTGATCTCATTGGTTGGTACATCAAAAGAAACCTAGTCCAACAATTAGTATAGTATCATTTGCAAGTCTAGGGTTAAATGCAATTTTTTGTTTTTAGTTTTGCCCATCTTTTCCCAAAGGTCCAGATCATAATTGGAAATCGTCTCTATTTAGTATTTTAGCAAACACCCACTAACCGTACTTTGGGAACCAGAGAAAATTGATATTATTAACTATTTCTGCAATTTTGGCTTTGACGAAGTGTCACGTTTTTTTGCTTCTAGTTAGGCCAGCTACTCTCTAAGCCAGCCACCATTTTTGTTTGTGACACCTCCAAGAGAAATTTCAACATTCTCTTTTGTTACCATAGGCGAGTGAGGAAGAGGATGACTCCATTAGCATTTTGTAAACATGCAGGAAGAGGGAGAGAGAGAGAGAATGACATGAGCGAGCTCGTTTACATTCAATCTATTGTTGTATTAGAAATTTTGAAGAAACCATTTTGTTAATGAGATAATAAGGGAAATATTGAGATTTAAAGTAAAAAGCTTAAACTATCCTTCTTACCCTTAACATCACTTGAGCCACCATTAATTGGCATATATCGTGCTTTTGAAACCTAAAATCTATGGATCTCTGTAATAACTAATGTAATTAGAGGTCTAGCTTATTGCCACTAGATATTCTTTGTGAGCAATCCTCTGTTAGAGAATACCAGCCGCACCACATAGGCAAATTGTAGATTATACTTTGGGAGTAGTCTCACTTTAGTATCCGAAATTTAAATTGTCATTATAATACCTAAATTGATGAAAACTATCACTTTAGGACCTGCCATTAGCATTCCGTGAGTTATTTAATGCTCGTGATGTAACATGTAATGCTCGGGTCGGGTCATTTTTACATTCGGGTCGTTAAATATGAGATCCTAATCCTATTTTTCGGGTTGGGTCAGATCGGATTCGCAGATTGGGTCAATTTTTTGCCAGGTCTAAAAAGAGCCATTTCCCTTTTCTATTTGTTTAAAGGGAATGGGTAAAATGTTCGATAAAATACTATTAAGGGTGTTTTTGACATTTTCAGAATATTTAATCCACACGTAATGTCATGTGATGGTATTGATTGAGATTCGTTAAATATCTGATTAATTTGAATACTACATTGTAGCATTTTAAAGTTCAGAGGAATTGACACTAGACCAAAACAACATATAGTGAAAGTTGGGGACTGAAATTTGACTGTATTCTTCAGTGGACGATGCTGCTATCTCACTTCTGAGATAATAATGCTGCATTTTTCAGTGAATTTCAGAAATAGTGTTGTCACCACAACAACATCTCATTTGAAATAGATCAGCATCTGAATCGACAGAAATATATAGATTTATTCTGAAAATTTGAAAATTAATAGAGGGTAAATTCAATATTTTGCTTTTCTTCATCAATATTTAATAGTGATTTCTATTGTTGGAAAACTAAAAGGTAATTTAAGTAATTCTTCATTCTTTAAACAGTAAGGAATTTTTTATCCATTTTTTAAACCAATGGGTGTTTAAGTATTTTCAAATTGCCGGAGCAGGCATTGGTTGATTGATCCCTTTTCCGATAAATATTGATTGATCCAAGTATTGCAAATGCTGTTCCAGAGTCTGTTCTTCCGAGCTGAGATGTAATTAGGTGACTTAGGTGGGTTTGGTTGTGTGGTGTCGGAGGCAATATTGATGCTATGTTGTGATGAAGACGACGGCATAGAAGACTGTGGATGATCTGGAGAAATTTGAGTTGAGTTTCTCGTGTCGTTGGATTTGGAACTTTCTGTCGTGTATTACCTTGACGGAAAGCATTTGGGCGTTGATATGGCCGATGAAGCCGCACTAGTGTGCATAAGCTTGGATCCAGATTCAGTTCGGTGGAGCTGATCGGAAAAAGGATCCTTTATGTTTTAATCCGATGAAGTGAGAACTCCTTCAGATAGACATTACGCAATGTTGAGACTTCACCCGCCAAAGAAAGCGCCAGTCTATTTCTCATCCATCTCAGAAAGAATCTGCTCTTCCCTTTTATCCTCATTGTCACCGTCGCATGCATCCTGTTCGCATTTCGTTGACACTTTGATAAACATGGAAAGCGTTCCCAAGGCGCTCGAATTTTTCCAGTATGTTTCCAAGCAAGTGGATTTATCCAAAAATACTCAACTTTATTCAGCCATGATTCATATATTAACCGGTGCCAAATTCTACACCAAGGCCAGGTGTTTGACAAAGGACCTCATCCAAACTCTCCAAATATCCCGAAAAACTCGTGATATTGGTTCTTCAACTTTTGGCGTGCTCAAACGATTTGAGAGATCAAAGTTCACTCCTGCAGTGTTTGGGGTGTTAATTATGGCCTTCTCCCAAATGGGTCTTGTTGAAGAAGCGTCCTGGGTGTACTACAAGATCGGGAAATTGCCAGCAGTGCATGCTTGCAACTCACTGTTAGATGGATTACTTAAGATGGGTAGATTTGATTCCATGTGGGAACTTTATGAAAACATGCTATCCAATGGGTTTGGACCTAATGTTGTCACATATAGCACTTTGATTAATGCTTGTTGCAACCAAGGCAACATTCATAAAGCACGCCAAATATTTGATGAAATGGTGGAGAAGAGGATTTATCCAACAGTTGTCACTTATAGCATCCTTATCTGTGGTTTGTGTAAAGAAAGTAATGTTGCAGAAGCTACTGAGATGCTAAGGATGATGCAGCAATCTGATGTGCTACCGAATCTCTACACTTACAATGCACTACTGGATGGGTACTGCAAAATGAGTAGAGTGCAACAAGCACTAGATTTGTACAAAGAAATGCTTGTTGATGGTTTACACCCAAATATTGTAACATTTGGGATCTTAATCGATGGGCTTTGCAAAGTGGGTGAATTAGAGAAGTCCAGGAAGCTTTTTGTTGATATGGCCAAATATGGTATTATTCCAAATATATTCATCTACAACTCTCTCATCACTTGCCGTTGTACAACTGGCAGATTATCTGAAGCCTTGGATCTTTATTCAGAGATGTCAAAGATAGGAATTTGTCCTGATGTTCTAACTTACAGTATACTTTTAAAAGGTCTTTGTATCACCGGAAGATTACAAGAAGGGGATGATTTATTCAACAAAATGCAGCAAAATGGCATTGTTGCAAATTCCGTGACATACAATACTCTGATTGATGGATATTGTAAAGACGGGAATATGGAGAAGGCTTTGAAGATGTGTTCTGAAATGACAGAAAAGGGTATAGAGCCCAATGTGATCACCTTCTCCTCCTTGATAGATGGGTATTGCAAGGAAGGTAACTTAGAGACTGCCATGGGATTATACTCAGAAATGGTGATTAAAGGCATTGCTCCTGATGTGGTTGTCTATACATCTCTGATTGATGGACACTCTAAAAATGGTAACTTCAAGGAGGCATTCCGGTTGCATAAAGAGATGACAGAGGCTGGTCTCGACTCTAATGTTTTCACAATCAGTTGCCTGATAGATGGGTTGTGCAAGGATGGGAGAACTCTTGATGCCATGAAACTTTTCTTGGAGAAAATGGGATCTGATCCCAAGGGTGCTGAAACAGAGCACATAGTGAGAAACTATTACTCCCCAAATCATGTGACATATACAGCTTTGATTCATGGTCTGTGTAGGGAAGGACGGATTTTGAAAGCCAGCAAGTTTTTCTCAGATATGAGAAGATTTGGTTTGATACCAGATGTCATCACTTACACAATTGTTATACAGGGGCTTTGCCAAGTCAAACATATATGTGATGTAATGATGTTGCAAGCTGATATGCTAAAGCTTGGTATCATGCCTAATTCAGTTACATATCGTGTGCTGGCTAATGGTTACTGGGAGAATGGGGATCACTTATCAGCTCTCAAGAGTTCTGAGGCTGGTGACAAGATGAAAGTAGGTGTGGGGTGTTTCGACTCAGAAGTAATTTTAAAAGGTTCTTTTCTGGATAATAATAACTGCATTTTTTATGTACAAAGCCACTGAGAAGCCCTTTGTACCTATTACCTCATTGGTTTTGCCAATTTATTCATAAATTTTTATATTATAGTACTTGTTAATTTTATCATTTTTTTTCCTTTTCAATACTCCCTCCAAAAACTAAATAAAACAAAGACATTTCTACTGAAGCAGGATTCTTGTCTTTGTACTACATACAGCTTGTTGTAAGTCTGGGTTTTGTGTTGTTTGTTCAATGCTTGGGTGCCAGTTTGTTAATGCAATGGACATGATTACACTTCTCGTATTGCTACTATTATTATCCTGGAATCCTGGATTTACCCCTTCAGGTTCGACATCATGTCCAAAGCTTTATATTGTAAGCTATTGTTTTGTCTTTATCCCAGGCTCCCGGCTGGTGAAGAAGTTACTATCAATTATAGAAGAAAGGACATTGACCTTTGAGACCTTGAGAGTAGACTTTATCTCCTTGACATATTGTGGGATCTTCATCTTCAAAGTTTGTCATATTAGCCTAGGGATGAGCTGGTAATCTCAGATTAGTAATTTTTTTTAGTTGGTCCACCACCTGGCTATATTAGCCAATTACTCCATCCCGAATGACTTGGTCTCAATTGCAAGGTTAGATTGTGGCTAATATGAATTTTTCCATGCATGTTATCCATTTGGTTCCCTTATTAAATCAATGGACCACCTCTTAAAAAACTGACTAGATAGTAGTTATCTCAAAATCCCCAGTTGTCAAGTTGATCTTTGACTGTACCTCTTAATTGTGGTGGTCTCAAGTGCCAGATCTAATATGCAGTCTGGTTAAACATTGGGATGAGTTGGTACATGTAATGTTTCACTTGAGGTGATGAATATCTGATTCTTTATGGAAACTAGCCAGCAAATATTCCCAAGATTCAGAAATCTGTAGCCACCACTGACTATCCTAAATTATCTGAATTCAATTTTGGAGCAGCGCTTCCGTAGCCACCAATCAGCTATTGATGTTTCTGAAGGAATCCAATAGAGTTGTGCTCAATTGTAAGACACAATTTGGTCCCCATCTTCTTGTGGTTTATTTCCTTTGCCTGTATTTTGGAGTAAATCAGAAGACTGAGGATAGTGATTACATATATCACATCATCAACTTTCATGTTAAACTGATGGATTGGAAGATACCAATCATAAATACATACATACAGATAGACAGAAGGAAAAGATTTAGAAGATGGCATCTGATGGGATATCTACTATCTAAGGAGGATAACCAGTCAAAGGTTAGGCCGGTTTTCAGGTCCAATTGACCTTGCCTTTCATGGGAAGTATTTTATCACCACGAAAACTGGCCTCTCTCTTGGCAGTTTTTTTGTATATTTCCTACGCACATCCTCTAGTTGTACAGGGATTCTTTGAAATTCTATACTTTAACCTTCTCTCTCTCTTTAAAAAAAAACAAAAACAAAAATATAGGTTTCTCTCAATGACACCTTGGTGGCATGACTCTTTTCCATATTTTGTGGTGCAGCTTCATCAAGAGCAATGGAATAAGGACTTGGGTGACTCTAATTTCTTGTTTGAAAAAGGAAACATGCAATGCCTTGAGTTGCTCTCCTTTTCTATTTTTATTCTTCTGTATTTTCTTTTTCTTAAATTCTATTTCTCTTATTTTCACCAATAATACTTGGACCACTGAAGCAGGAGCCTGAAACAAAGATAAATAATATATTGGGAGGTTTGATTGATTGAACACTTTGGATGAGAACTGTCTTCCCCCCTTAGAGAGATACCCTATCTTCCAACCAGCCAACTTATGCCTCATCCTCTCCACTACAGGGTCCCATATTTCCTTTTGCTCTGTAACTCGTGCCCTAATAACTTAGAAGTAAACCTCTTCTACAACCTCAGGAAACAGCAATATTAACCACCTCCCCCACCAGGATCAACTTACTCTTTTGAAAGTTTATCTTCAAGTCGGACACTGCTTCAAAGCAAATCAATAGGCATCTTAAGAACATAAAAAGACGGGGATGATTATTACTGACTAGTTAGTGATGCAGTTGAAGATCCCTCAACTGACTACCTAGTTGGTCAACTAATGGTTAACTAGTAAACTTCTTGATAGAACTAATTAAAATGCTAAATAAAAGGATTAGAAGCCAGGGATATTTTCTCTTGTTGGCAATAACCTATATGGTGCATCATTATTACAATTTTGATGTCACATGGTCCTTTTGCCAATTCTTTGGGATTTGGGGTTTCCTCAAAGAATTTCTGAACATGAATGTGTAATATGATCATTATATTCTCTTGGGTGGTTCTTCTGTTCGGCTTGAATTTCCATTTGTTTTTACACAATATTATCTTTCCTTGAACTCTAAGATGTATCATCTGGCCTTCTCTTTGTTGTTGCCTTCCATTGCCCTTGGTCTTGTGCAGAGAGGATGAAATTGAAGACATTCAAAAGGTTTTCTTCTTTTCTTCTCTGTGTGTGTTTCAATTAGGCGGTGAAATATTTCTTTATTGAAATTGCATATTTTTCTCACTTTAAATTGGTTTTCTTTCAGGAAATTTCAGTATTATCTCAGTGCTGATCTCCATATATTACTGAGTACTATGGATGTCTCCTACCAAATCGAACCGTGGATAATAATGGAGTACATAGGTAGTGGATCTGTTGATATTGCAGACCCTGTGCTACAGCTGCATGGTCAAATTGCCTGCTATTGTTATTTAGATTTCTATTATTTCTTTTTTTTTTCTTTTCTTTCCTTTTTATTGTCAATAAAAATGTTTTAGGAAAAAAAAGATATACAACAGGAGAGAGTAGAGAGAAGTATGCTATCCTAGCTTGGAGTTGGTATGAAACTCAACTATAACTATCCATTAAATCTGAATCTACCCAGCCAAAATTTCAAGTTTGAGCCAAGCTCAAGTTGGTTAAACTTGACAAGACCTAATTTCAACTCATTCAGTCATTCCATAGTAAATTGACTGGTTCACATTAGTAAATATGTACTAGTAGTTTTAAAACTGTATTATGTATCCAAAAATAGAAGCTAAAGCAGTATGGTTCAGGTCTGATATTGCTCTCAGAATGGATGACAGGGCAACCCAGTGGAACAACGATATGTTGTTACTGGCAAATATTTTACATTGATGTGGAACATATGGAAGGAGTGCAATAGAGTGGTCTTCTCTCAAAACAATTCCATCTTTTGTTTGTCATCGGCAGAGCACAAGCTCAGATTCAAGAAGCCGGTGGGAATTAGAAATGGCAACAGGTAGGGTACCTGTGAAAATTGCCCTTCCCATGACCCGTCCCACTCGATTATTATTTGACATATCCTATCATTGCTATCATTTTTTAAATTTGAAATCCAAATTTAATTACATTAATTAATACCCATTAATCTCACCATAATTGACTATATTTAACACTTCATTTATCATAATTAACTCCATAACTAGCCTTATTTAATACACCACTTATAACATTAATTAACTTCATTAATCATCTTCATCTCATAATTAACTCAATTAATTCCATTTAATTTTATTTAAAATCATTATTGTATAAAAATAAGATGTTAGATAGATTTGAACTCAGATTGTTTAATTAAAACATAAGAATTTTAACCACTAAACCACTCCATGACATTTCATTAAATTACTGTTGACAAGCAATCATATTATATTCATGCGCATTGAAGTATAGAAAATATTCATTTGCAAATACTTAKGTCTCGAGCCATAAATTCCATAATCAAACCAGCTCTGAATGCTTTTTCCTCTATAATCTCAATTATCCATTTAAAAGACATTTTTTGGTTATGAGAATGTAATTTTTATACTACACATAACAACGTTATTTATTAAATTTTGTTTTATTTTAAATTTTGTAACCTTTCATATGATCATTAATGAGATTTATATTATTAGTTTGTTAATTTATGCATATATGTGTATATCAATGTTTCCTCAGGACATTCTGATGGTTTATACATCCCATTTTTATGGTGAAATTATACTTCACATAAAGTCAAACTATTAAAATTCATGTTTCTTGTGTGAGTTATTAGAGTTGTAAATTACATAAAATTTATATATATTTAATATATATTTGAATTTTCATGGCGTATTCATGTGTATCTTAAATTTTTCGTCGTATCTATACATATCTAAAGAATATCCAAAATCTGAATACATTTCTTTAATTGCATCTTCAATATTCTTTGCATTTTTCAATAGATCTTGCATCCATTTGTACATCACATAAGTAAATTGTCATGTCCAAAATCCTATATGATTTTAATCTAAAATCCCAAACCTTATAAGGTTTTGATAAATGGGTCCTATTAGGGTCAGGATGGGTAGGATACCCTGAACTTCTCACAAAATTGCCATCCCTAGTGGGAATATTATAACATCAGTGCCTGACACTTATGTGGATCATAGTCGGCAACATACTCAATAAAAATGGGGGGAGAAACTAGGGAATAACTTTTTTTTTGGAAGTAAACGTTGATGGAGAAGCAGCAGCTAAGTGGAGGAAACTGAGTGCCTGGCCTTTGTTGAAAGACTTGCTCTTGCTAGTTCACTTGGAATTACTAAGGGTCCGTTTGGTTTGCAGCCGGAATTGGACTTGGAATCAGAATGGTCTATTCCTTGGTTTGTTTGGTTCAGACAGAAATGGGAAAGGGAATTCAAATCAGCAGGAATGGGATTTCATTCACCATCTCATCACAGAATGGAAAAGGCTGAAGTCTCTTTTCATTTCTTGTATTATCTACCATACACCACATAAGTCATGACTGTAATAAGATGGCCCATGGACTTTCTCATCATGTCTTGTCGGTTAATCATGGTTTTACGTGGTTGAGACCTCCAAATTTTTTATGTAATCTCTTAATGAGGATCTGATGTAATGTTGGATTTTGATGCAACGGAACCAGCTTTAGGGCTTTCAAAAAGAAAAAATAAAGTCTATTTGTGTTTTTTTTTTCTAAATTGGTTAGCAAGTGAATTTGAATATTATGAAATTAAAAAAAAAATGAATTTGGTTCATCATCGGGTTCATCCTCTCTTTTCTCCTCCTATTGACTATTGAGCCATACAGAT